TGGGGCACCACGTTCCTCCAGCTGGGATGAACATCGCGCTTTGATCCACGCGACAAGCACACAAACTACACATACCGCAGACGTGTTTGCTCTCCTTTGGCAAGAACATAGCATCACACATCGTGCGTGCATTCTTCCTGAAGGGAGGAGATTCTCGCAGAATGGAGTGAGTGTGGCACTCGTGCAGGTGGTGAAGTCGGTCGATGGTATCGTGATACATCCAGAATGCAGGCGGGAGCTACCTGACCCGCGGAATCCTGTCTTTAACTGTTTTTGTCATTTGCCGTCTCTAAATGTATGATCCCAAAATGGGTGTTTCCCTTCGGGTTCCCTTTTAAGCAACTTCCAACAAGGGTACCCTCAAGAACGAACCCATATCGCAGGTGCTAATGCAAATCCTTTCTTTGCAGGCCTATAACGTTTTTGTTTGCTGTGTTGCCGCTGTATTGCGCGCATTTGCAGTAGCTGGCATGTTTTCCATATTGCGCTGCTGTTAGCAGCACCGATGTCAGAGAGAGAGGACCGTTTCACAGTGGGGCAGTTCTTGACCCAAGTTGGCACTGGTTTTTGTCCCACCCACCAACCCTGTATCAAGGACCGACGTTCGGTATCCTAGATACTTGAAGGCTCCGCTGGAGCCGGGGTGCTTTTGCAAGGTGCTCAGGTGCTTGCTGCCGAGTGTCGGCTTGGTGTGTTGCTGCACAGGGGTTGCAGTGAGCCTGACACTCAACCTGCCGGGCAGGAAAGGCCGTTGGAGGATCTCTGCAGGTTCCCAAGGCATTATCCCCAGGATGGGTTTGACATTTTGGATCAAGAGCGCATATGAGGAAAAGAGAAGAAGAGAGCTGCGCTTTGAGTTGATAGTACCGCCAGGAAATGAAGCAAAGAGCGTACAACCCCTTTCCAGGCACCTTTCAAGAGCTCTAGTTTGTTCTCCTCAGGCTTGCGACACAACCAACCCCACTGGGGCTCAACTCGCAACAGCTCCAGTTAAATGTCATTTGCGTTCGTGGCAAGAATTGGCGTCTTGATCCTCATGCCTCTTCGCCCGCTCTTCCGAAAATCTAACTGTTAGCCTTTCATCTGTTGGCGGCTCAGTCAGAAATAAGAAAAACAAACCGTTTGCAGCCTTGTATTTGAGCCAGCAGGGTTTTGGGCAGGGCGTGGGACCATCCTGCAAGGCTTCGCAAAATCTTCACCCTCCGGAGTCTTCCAGGGCCAGAGGCGTGGGGCCCAGGGGGCCCAGGGGCGGGATGGCGTTTCTCGTCCTCCGCGTCATCACTTGCTTGGCCGCACTCTTAAAGCTGGCTTCCCTCACTGTGGCCGTGTTTTTTTCTTTGTCACTTGCTCTATTTCTTCCAGCGCTGCGTTGCTCTTATGATTTGGATTCGGATTCTTGTTGAAGTGATGAGTCATCACAATATGTCTGCCGAGCAGCGGCTGCTGAGTGTTACCCATAGCCATCTGAAACTGGCCTGCGGACCTGTCTTAGCGCTTGCTTCGGAATCACATGGCTCGTTTGGGCGCAAAATGGGCCCTAGCCGTACGTGTTTCAAGATGGAGCCCCCAAGATGGGGTGCATCAAATAGGGATCGCCTGAGAAAGTCCCTGGGTTTGTTCATTCAAGCCTCTATATCGGGGTCAGATTTCTTAAGCAGGCGCCGGCAGTCCCAGCCAGAAATAGTTGCGGCCGCCTTCTTAATTCTTTACATGGTTCTGGGTAGGCCATTTGAATACCGCGTTTTGATTGTGACTCAGCTGAGGTGCCCAAGTGCTTGCCAGAAGCGGATTGTCCGGAGACCGAGCGAACAGAATCGGACATCGGAAAGCACATTGTTTTCCCAGACCTCAAGGTTCTTTTGTCCCTGGAGTCCTGGAGGTCTGTGAAACAGCCTCTAGTCTTTACACTGCATGGGGAAAAAGCGAGCTCTGACAACTTTCCGGGCCCCACGTAAGTTTTTTTTTTTACTCACGTTTGTCGATAGTCAAGGGTCACCTCGTTTGCACACACCTTGGTGCTAAGCCTCAGCCCTTGAGATTGGAGGGAAGCGATCCGGAGATACGAAATCGCGCGTGAAGGCTGCCGGAGCATTGCAGATGCGTGTTTCCTAGCATGGAGCAGCATGAACTAATTGGTTGTCCATCTTTGTATCAAGACGAGGTTCTCCTAGTTGTGGGCACCCAGCATTTTGGGTTTCGGTACTATAACATTTGCAGTTCAATTGGAGACATGCGTTTCGTTCAAGGCATGTCCCAATACGACCAGCGGCCAATTTTATTTAGTTTCGCGCGCAACAGGGTGACGGTAATTGCCCTCCGAAACTCGAACCCGAAATCCGACAGAAGGCTCGAAGGGAGGATGGTCCAAACTGGGCGGATCTGTGGTCCCAGGCTTGTCGGTGAACGTGTAGCGGCATCTGGCATGTTGGGCTTTTTTTGCAGAGTATGTGCTCTCATATTTGTATGCAGCACATATAATATTATATAAAGATATGAGTTTGCTTCTGGTCTAGCAACTACTAAGTTTGCCACGTGAAGACAAGCTCCTTTAGTGCATTAGTGGGAAACCGAAGACTGCCTGAGGTCCTCACGACGATCGACGGGCCCAGCTCTCAGCGTTCCAATTGCTCACTTTTGCTCACCCCAAGCTTGAGCTGAATATCAGCGACCCAACCATGGCTCTGTTGGAACCGGATCACATTTGAGTCGGTGAGTTACAGTACAAAATGGCAGAGTTCGCAAGCTTTCTCACACAGGTGGTTTGATCGATCGGATTATATTTTTCTGAACCGCAAGCAGCCCATCTCTTTGCCGAGATGCGTGCATCAATTTCGCAGTTTTCTCCCCGCTTTGGGATCGATCCCTTCCATTGGGTTCCAAGTCGCCTGGGCACCGTTCCGTTGACCTCGAAAAGCCGTTGTTGCAAAGACCCAAAAGCCACCCATTTTGATGTGTCGGGCCTCTCTTTCCGCGGCTAGGGGTGCTGAAGGGCCCACTGAGGTATTCCAGTCCTTGGCCGTCCTATTGTCATTTGAGATTTCACGAGGAAGTGAGCACCATCAAACCAGCTCCCCAGTGCACGATGGGTTATTTTGGTCATTCCTAGTCTACTAGGCATGCCAAGTACTGCCTACTTCGGGATTTATCCGTGGTATTCAGAGCAAAGTCGCTCCCAGCAAAGTCAATGTTCTTACAGAGATTTGCAACACGCGAAGAATGCGGAGATGTTTCTCAAATAGCCCACATAATGATGCCTCCGTTTGTTTTCACAACACCATCAGTGGCGAAGCCGGGGATGTCCGTTTTTACCACCCGCGGAGCCTCGCCTGAATTCGCTTGCCACCGTTCTCGTCGTATGAGGCTGGCGGACACTTGCCGGATTTCTGTGCAGGCAGGTAGGGTGCGGAGCAGTGGGGTGGTCACAGCTATCAGGAACTCATAAGTTACGGCACGCATGGTCAAACATTGCATCTATTAGAATCCGGAGTGGCGAGGCTGACTTGTTCTGTTTTCGGACGGATGCGGGATTCTGCGTTAGTGTTGGGTGGAGGTGAGTTGTGTTGGGTCTGGCAAGGTGCATGGTCATCACCCCCCGAAACCCGCCCAGGCAAAGGGGAACACATCGGGGGTATACTAACCAGCCTGTCTTTGCACCGAGGTTATAATTGGCATGCCAGGTAGACCATCCCAAGCTCCTGCTGCGATCCCTTATTTTCAGAAGGCGACAATTTGAAACTGGCAAACATGTTTATTTTCTGCAGGAGGGTGCCTGAGCACACAAGATGTCCGTTGAATGTCAACCCCCGAATGGCTTCAACCTTGGTAGTTGCAACTGGCCATTGGCAGCATCCCAGTTGGGGCTCACGTGGGAATTCCAACTGGGCAAGGGGCTCGGGGCTAAAGCCAAGGGGTCAAATGCCACATGTTTGACGACAGATTGATTGGCGAAGTGGACTGATCGTCCCGGGCAGTTTGTGGATCAAGGGGTTCAGCCCCGCTTCTGTGGGATGCCCCATCAATACCTAGCGGCCAGGCCTTAGGCCAGTGGGTCAGCTGAAACCGTCTAAAGACAAAGGTGTTGCTCTCGGGGGCCAGTGCGCCGCGTCGAGGCGTGGAGTCGATGCACGTGATGAGTGCCGAGCAGGCCGAGTGCAGACTCGTGGTTTGGGCATCCATAGACCTTTTTCAATGCGCGGTGGATGCCACTTAGGTCACCGGCATGGCTTCGGATCAATACTCACTGACAGCAGCTATTTGAATTGTGATGTAGGGGGTGGGCAACGTGTTCCTCAGTCTATGAGTTCCGGGAAGTGATGCAACAGTGCCGTGGGTGAAGCGTGTGATGCCACTGTGAAACATCCTGAATGACTCTTTATTCAAACGGATTCTGGTAGGGTGGGTATCACACTGTCAACATTTGCACCGGAGGGGTCCCCAGCTTGCCGAAAATGCCCAAGTCACAATCCATCATACCCACCCCTGTGGAAAGTGCACTTTGTGGCTGTTTTTGAGTTGGATCCTTCTGGTGCCTAGTTTACAGGGGCACACACATTTTGGGGTTCCAAATCCCATTGGGAGGTGTCTCACGTGACGCCGAACCCTGATGCAGGTGCCCAACCTTTGCAACGGGCAGGCCTGAAGAGAACTGACTGGTCAGTGCAACAGGGATATTTACTGGGGTCTCCAGCAAAGATCATATTCTACTTGTTGGGGTTGACTAAACATTAAATGAGTTCTGAACGCATTTGTTTGTACCTCAGAGTTGGGCCAAGATCATTCGTCTCTAAGGTTTGGCATGTGTGTTTTGCCGGTTACCCACTACAGAGGTAAAGGGATCCACTGGCAAAAAATGTACTCGTTCGGGGGTAGTTGCACAATCACGACATTGAATGGTTGTGAGCCGCCCAATGCGTGCACAGAAGGGTCTAAAAAAGGAACCCGCTCGACCCTTAGATCACGCTTGCTGCGGAGTTGATAAACCTTTCGGGTTCTTAGTGGGGAATCAAGAGGGGTTTGGGAATGAACCTAGAAATCCCTGAAAAGGAAGCCACAAGGGACGGTACATACCGTACATACCATCAGGAAACTGATGGCCTTTGTTCGCGTCCCAACCCCGTTTGTAGGCGGAACAAGGTGTCACCATCCCAATGTATGTATGGCAACTCCCATAGCGACCAAATGAGCGGCATCGTGAACTCACCGTTTGGGTATATCCTTTTCGGGATTCTATGTTTGGGTTGTGCTAAAGGGAAGTTAAAAACAATTTGCGATTTTTGTTTGCCACATGGTCAATGTGATTCGATCCCTGGCATAACATTTCCCCCTCGAGGCGACGGGTGAGCGCGAGTTGCCCAAGCCCCAGCCGCGGGCTTAGAGCACAAGGTCTCTTGACACACGCCCATGTAAATATGTACACCAAAGGGTCCGCAGCTGAGAACTCCCCCTACCCGCTCAAAAGCAAACATGGAAAGAGACCCTTTTCTAAGAAGGACCTCTTTCAGGTTTCATGTTTGTTTTTGGGAGGTATGTCCTCCGACCAGTTTTGAGGCTGCTCCACCTTTCAGCTGATCGACGCTTTTTGTTTGCACGGTGTTGTGGCTAAACAAGCAGGCACAACACCATGTTGGGCAAATTGCAGCCTTTGTGGAAGCTGGAGTCCTGCGATTCGTGTGTCGGTCACGCATCATTTTGCTGCTTGCTTGTTGGCAGTTCTATAGAAAAGCGGCTCACGACCCAGGGTTGCCTGTTGTGCTTAGTGGGAAGAAGGGAAAGCCTTGATAGATCCTCCCCTTGTCGAAAGGTGAATCCTTCGTTTTCAGGCAGTCAAGGGAAGCCCATGTTCTGCATTAAGAATGTGTCCGATACATATGTTCGTTAAACAGAATATATATATATATATATTTGCTAGCCCACTTACTACACTGCCTCAGACTAACATGGACGCTTGCAGAAGGCCTCCGTAAATGGAACCAAGTTGTACAAAGAGGTTCTGGAAGCTTCCATGTTAGCCTGGGGGAGGGTATGTCCATGAATTCGCTAGTTGAGTTCTCAACTCTGGCAGAGTGGCAAGCTCCTTATTGGTGCCTGTCAATCTTGGCATTGTTTTAGTTAAGTCCAAAGTTTGTCAAAAGAGTTCCGATTTGCCCATCCTTGAAAGTTATCACTTGGAAGTGGAATTCAACACACTTACCCTGGACACATAACAACTTACGGGCTCCACTCACCTTGAGAGAATGGACGCATGTCCGGAAAGTGATGGTGGGGAAGGGGGCGTTCTTAGGGTTTGCTGCCACATAATCTCCCGCCCCCACTGTTGGGTGATCCATTTTGCATTTTGGTGTCGTTTCAAAGGGAAGCAGAAGAAAACAAACCATTTTGGGGAGGGGTTCAGCGGCGAGACGTCCATTCGGTCCCAATCCGAGCACTTCAGGCCACCCGCTGAGGACTGGGTGTCGCTGGATCTAACAAATGAGTTGCTGACACATGTTGCTGTGTCCCAAATGAATGCGTGTTTCTTGAAAAGGGTACTGTTCGCCTTTCACCTTGGTTTGAAGGGGAACCAAAAGGAAGCCACATGTGGTGCTCCTGTGTTGTACCTGCATGAGGGAACCTCAAATGTGGGTCGTTGTTAAGTTTCTCTGATCTTACCATCGATATGAGGGGGAACATATTTTGAAATTATCATGTGTGTAATGTGTTTTAAGTGTGTTTGTGACCCACTACCTGGAGACAAGTGCGGGGAGCGATTGCCAAACTAAATGGCATGCTGCTTGGATCCTTGAAAGGCATTGCCAGAGCGGGTACATGTGTTTCTTTTTCTTATGTTGATTCGATTGAGGCCTCGAGCCAATCGAAGTAGTAGACCAGCATTTGGTGCTGTTCCTCCACTTCTAACATGATGGTTCTGCCTGGCTAACGGGGAATTGGGATGTATTCATGGAGAGGCTGCTGGTCGATTTATAAGCAGTCAGACTGAAGATTCAGCTGGGTAGATGTAGTCGAGGGGCCAACTGTAGATGGAAGCGTCTGATTTTGGCTTGGCTTTTGATTGCACTCTCATGAGGACCTATCCCTTCTCGAATGATCCGAGATAGTTGGCAAAGTGATTAGTAACCCCCAGTTCTGACCCCAAGTCAGCCCTTAAAAGTCGAAGCATGGCACCAGGAGCGGGCGCAGTTGCAGGACTTTGCCGCGATGCCGGAGGCAGCCTGTACCAGACGCCCCAGGCAGGGTCGGGTTTGCTTTGCTTTGCCGGCCCGGTGCGAGCTTCAGTCACATTCTTTCCCAGCTCAGTGGGACCCTCTAGGAAGCTGGGTTGCTGACGGTTGGGCGGGTGACCCACTAAACATGGGCAACCCCTCAACGTGGTGCCTTTTTAGGGGACTAAGGTGGGCAACTATCTGGGATCAACCCTTCTCAGCGTGTTGGTTTGCGATTTGTGGTTTCACCCAACTCGTTTCGGGTCGGGCAACTAGTCCAGTTTACCCAGATTGTTGGCTATCCAACAAACGCAAGGGGAACCCAAGAGAACTGAACCATGGGAGAGATGCAGAGTTTGAAGGAAGCCCTGCAGATTTGATTTGGAAGGCTGTGGCCGTTGAGTCTCGTGAGATGGCTGGCACATTGGATCCTCGAGTGGTATTTCTTGCGACATTGACCCGCGACACTACACCCACCAGGCCAGAAAACTGGGTTGTTAGCATCAATCCCGTTTTCCAAGCAGGCAATATTTGACCCATTTGTGAAATCGCAAGCCTTGAGCCGATTTGTTGACCGGGTCCACCACGGAAAAAGGCAGACTACAAATTCACTTGGTCTGTTTCTCATGTCATGTGCTTTGTCGACGGCCAACAGCAATTCAGCTGAGATCTTCGAGCAGATAGCGTCCGCGCGCCGTTCCTTAGGGGCTTGATTTCAGTTGAGGGGCACCTTTTTTGCGCCCGACCAATGTCCCTGCCAAAAAGATCAAGTGAAATTAAGGCCCAATATCGGATCGTTCTGGGAAGCAAAGGTGTGCATGGCCTTTGGACTTGACAGCGAGATGTGACGGAGGCTTTGTTGAGGCCGCCCGCATTGTGACTTAAGCTGTAAGGCATTCGGGGGTTCGGTCGGGGTCCATCGTGACCCTCAACGCAGTGTTCAATTTTGATTCAATCGACGGGCAGGGCAAGGCATGCGAGCGTTGCCAGGCGTGATACGGCGGAACTCCCGGATGCATGCGGCACCAAAAAGTCCGGGACCCATGGGAGTGGCCTTTGGTCGGGCTATGTTGGCTCAGATTGTGTTTGGAAGCCTTGGCTTTGCAGCTTGTGTTCCACAAATGGGTTGTCTCAAATGACTGGTTTCCCATGGTTCACCCTGTATACCCAGACCGCAAAACAAAGGGAACCCTCAAAGAAAGACACCACCAGATCCTGCCTGTAGAGCCTGATGCCGAGAAGGTTTTGAACCACAGCCATGCGTGGTTGGACGGGAGCCAAGGAGCTGGAGTATCCAAATTTGCCTTTACCCAGGAGCTAAGGAGCTACCAGGAGTTCTGTAGGCCCATGGTAGCTTCTGTGTTCTGCGCAGAGAGATCTCCACCACGTACCGCGCGTTCTGAACTCTGAATTGGGAACAAGCAAAGCCTGCAAAGGATGTAACAAAACCATGCTTGGTGGCTGCTTTGCATGCAACATTTAGTGACTCAATCATACCGATCTTGATCGTCTTCACACAGTTCAGCTGGCTGCGTGAAAGTCAACGGAGCCAAGCCGTCAAGAAGCTTTCTCGACCTGTTGGCTTGCTTGCCTTTGGTCCTTGTTTGCTTCTGGTGCAAAACGGTTGACTTTGGATTTCCAGGCCCTGTGCACGAGTGACTTTGCTTCAGCATTGTATTTTGATGTCTTCTTGTGAGATGTGGGATACCAGCCACATTGAAGCAATCAAAGAGCAGTCGCTCCAGACAAGGTTCCATGTGCCTGGACACATATAGCTTTACCTGCTTGGAGGTGTTATGCACGCATGTTGCATGTTGCTGAATGTCCCGACCAATCTCTCAATGCATCCTCTGTAGGAGAAATCACGACATGGGCATTGCCATTTTGCTTCTCATGTGTTGGTACTGCAGGAACGTTCTGCCTTTGAATCGAACTATTGTTAGTCTTTGAGGAAAGGCCTTGGATTTTGTTAGATGAGACTTCTTCGACCGAGGTTATCAACGGCAGTCACCATCGATACCAAGGTCGGCAGCTGAGTACAAGCAAGTAAACTTAGTGGAAGACAACCAAGAGGAAATTGAGCATACGGCCAAGGAACACTACCGGAATTCGCTGATCAAATTTCAGCTAGGCCCCTGCATGACATGGTTTCCTGTTTTTTTTCCTGGTTGCACGCTGCACTGGCAACTCAAGATACTGCAAGCCATTCTGTGTTTTGAGAACAGGTCGTCATGTGTGTGTGTGTGGGCGTTTGTGTTTTTTTTTTCCAGCTTGAAAGGCATGTGATACGGCTTGTGCAGCATCAACAAGACCAACTGGGCACGACCAAGTCGTAGTGAGTGAAGAACCTGGTGAGCGCGGCCCGAGTAAACAAGTCACAACACCACCAATCTATCGTTTGCTGAGGGAATGCCACACCCACAGTGACACAGAACCACGGCGGTTTGATTTTCCAGGAGGACTGCTGATTTAAAGATAGGTTGTGTCATGCTGGTTTCTGTGCAAGGCATGCCCCAAGAGTCTTCGCCTAGGGAACGAGTCTTGCGTTTGCGGCTCATGTCGGCTTGAAGCGTTTGTTCCATGTGATTCACTGTGGCTTGGTGGACTCGAGGTTCCCCCACTCCCCGTTTCTCCACAATGCGAACTGCTGGAGGGATGTCAAAAGAATCCGTTTTTTGGGGCTGGTTGGAATTGCCCAGTGCAAAGACTCGTAGATATTAGAGCAACGGACAGTTTTGCCAGGGCATCGGGTTTGGCTAGGCCTCTATCGGTTTTGCAGGTTGGTGGGCATTTGTTTTCAGCTAGACCCCTCTCGGTTGGTGGTGATATTGCCGGTTACTCATAATTATGCAACCTTTTCGGTGGCGTGGAAGGACCCCTTGTGGTTTGGGCTGGTTTGGAGTGTGATGAGGTTGCCTTCCATTTTGTCTCACAATCAGAGGTTTAGCCCTGGGCCGCTGCTCCACCACTGGGCCCCATTGGGATTAGCTGAAGTCTGGAAGACGTTGCCTGGGGTCACCTCAAGAATGGTTTGAACTATGGCTACATCTGAAACGGAATGTAAAACACGTGTTTTCGGTGTGCTCAAGAGTTGGGCCAGCTTCTAGCCCCTTGGTGCCATAGGCCAAGGCTCCGCGAGCAAAGGCGGGAGTGGTTTTGTGTACTGTATGCGTATGCGAATGTGTATGCGTGTGTATGTCTGTGTGTGTGTGTGTGTGCTGCAAACAAGTTGTATGTTTGTTGATGCCCGACAAAGGGCCTCCCCAAACCCCATAGAAACACATTGGGCTTAGGACTGCCTAAAATGGTCCGATATAGACTAAATGGGTCTTCCCCTTTTGGATGGGTTTCCGCTTTACTCTCCAGTTTCTATTTAGAAAGTATCGATTTGGGAGAGTGCAGTCTGGGCAGTCTGGCGCCATTCTGGGGTTTGTTGCGCCTAAAGTTAAGCTCGCCTTGGGGTCGACTGAGCTCACTGGTGGATTGACATGGTTTTGTGTTCCGGAGTGAATTTCAGTTACGGCAAAACAAGCCAATTGACCAATGCCAATCTTATTTGGCCACTTCCCTGGTTGTTTCCTTGAAGCAGGAGTTTGCCAAATCCTTTGCTTCTCATGGGCCATTGGGCTATTGGGCCAAAGGTTGTGGACGAGTTTGGTCATCAACCTGACAGATTGCTCACTGAGCAGTTCCCCAAAGCCTTCCCGATGGAGGTTCTACATATTTTTTTGGGGGAGTGCAGTGACGACCGGCTCAGTATTCTTGACAATATCAGCACTGTCAATGGGCTTTGGATGCTTCAAAGGCGTGCCAGGTTTAGGCTTTGGCACTGTCATGAAAGAAGCGGCAGTTGCACCTACTCTAAGGGTCCTTAAGAAGGGAACGGCTTCGGCGCTTTGTCTGAACACGACTTGCATCCTTTTAAAGCCTATAGGGCGGTTGCTTTTGAAAGTGTTCCTTACAGTTTCAACCTCAATCGCTCGAGAAGAGACGTAGTTCCAATGGGTTCCTCTTTGCGAGGCAGTTTTTGCCCGGGACCCCTCTTTAAATGGCAGGGAGTAAAGCCGCCGTTCCCCACAGGTGTTAGGGATTTGAGTTTCTCGAGACCCATTAGCCTTAAAGGTTTCTGTCTAACAGCGGCTTTAGCAAGTCGTCATGCTTCAAAGGGTCCATGGGTCCTACAGCTCAATTTTGCTTGTGGTTGTTTTCTCAAGCACCACCAGTACACTGCAGCTTTTGGATGGGAAATCCAACTCTTGTATTCGAGTGACCTTTTGACCTGATTTGAAGCAGTGTTGGCAATCACTTTCATATACCTGGGCTTCTTCTTCACGGGTTCATACAGCATACGTCCAGCCTTGAACATACTGGTTCCTTGCTGTTTGCCGTGCACCGATAGATTCGGATAGGTTGGTTACAAGGACTTATTGACTTAGAAGGGGAACCCTTCTCGGGCGAATGGTTTTCCGTAAAGCCAAACCATATTATAGTCGGCTGGCTAGTGAACCGACAGATGAACATGGGGGTCATGCCAGTCTTCATACAATAGGACATCACCAATGGTACCATTTTGGGGTAGGTGCACCACCCACCCATTTTAGAACCTATTTTAGTGGGGATCGGGATGTTCACTGGGGGTACGATTTGGCTTTTGACCCATGGCCACATATATATATATACACATATGTATATACACATATGTATATATACACATATCCGAGTCCTTGAGTCATTGGATATAAGCCTCACATCCTTTCAGCCACCACTTTGCCAGAGCGAACGCCATACGCCAGGCGGCACCGGCGCCCGGCTCCGCAGGCGCGCGAAAAGTCTGGGCGCGAAAAGCTTGGGCGGGGGGAACCTTTTGGGAGGATTCCTTTTTGGGGGACAGACAACATAAATGCCACCAGAAACCTTTTTCATTTCCAGGGGCATGCATTTTTGCGACACTGACATGTTTTTGTTGGCCCTGCCAACCTTGTTTTGGGAGGGGTGCAGATTTTGAGACACACGAATGTGGAGTGGCAATTTAGAGGTTTTTGGGGGCCCCTGCTAAGCCCTTGAAGATGCAGGGTCATTCCGCATGTCCTGGAACACATCACGGCTGGCAGTTGGTGATACCTGGACTCGTTACATGTTTGGCAAATGTATGTGCTTGTTTGGATTGAATCTGACAGTTGGATTGTTCGGGAGCGAAGTCTCACGCAGGCATTCGCCATGCCCATGTCCCATTCAGATGTTCAGCCACGTCAAGCCGGTCAGTTGAGTGGCTGACAGGCAAGGCTGCTACCCACCAACAGAACGGAGGACTCTCAAAGAGTGCTAGGAACCCTGAAGTGAGGGAGTTCTAGCCAACTGAGCGTGGAAAAGGGAAGCTCACCTGCCATGGTGCAAAGAGTTGATGGGTGATGCTGTACATGTTTGATCAGGCACCTCTGAGAGCACCACCCACTGGCAGTTTCCTGAACCGCTTTGTTTTCCGGCAGTGTCATAGTGTATTTGGCCAACTCATATTGGATGAATAGGATATCCACTGAGGTCAATCTTAAGTTTAGTATCTTGAAAATCATGTGTTGTTTTTGCCAGTGGTCTACCCCGGTGCAACGCTCAACCGGGAGCAATCCTGATTCGGATTTCAGACAAGCGTTATGATCAATTTATGGCGAAATTAAGGCGGTCACATCGCTACAGTCATCCCCTCAAGGAGTTCTGACTATGGCAAGGGTGAATCAACCTAAGTAAATGGTCAGCTGTCGACATGTTTCACCTACGTGGACGTGGAAGCCTGATGTTCATCAGGCTTCCAGCAGTGGTTTGAGAACAGCCTTGGCAAGGATTTCTCTGCAAACTATGGTCACAGACGACCATGAGGAGCAAGTAGTTTTGGATTTGGCCAGGGGGCACCAGTTGACGAATTGCGTCAGACATTCCATGTCAGCTGGTGGATGCTTTTTGTGCCCTGCGAAAGGTGCTTGCTATGGCCGGCGTCCCACATCCAAACAGAAGCGCGTTGAGAATGCAGCTGACGCCTCAGTCTTCACTGCGTGTCCACAATTTGTCCCAGCACATGTGTCTGGTTTGCAGTGGGCAGGGCTGGGCATCGTGGGGTTGGAGGAACTTAAACGAAGATGTTCAAGCATTGGCGACTCAAAGTGGTCCAAACATGTGGCTTGCGGTGGGTCTTGATTTGCTCATTGCTTCAGCTTCAGGGGCCAGCTGTCAAAACCTTATAGGTGGGCAAGGTGCATTTCATCAAGTTGTTATTCCCAACCTACATCCGTCGATGAGACTTATAGTCTTGCTGACTTGGCGGAAATTTGAAGTGGTTGCATACCCATTTTTGTGTTGGGGGACAGTCCAACTGAACGCATTACAAGGGGTTCCAAATCCTTTCAAGTCAGGGAAGGATCAGTGACGCCTCAAAACAACTCTGGAAACCACTCGTCAACCCTCCATGGTTCCTCCTACCATCAATGGCTGATGCCTACATTGCGTTTGTTTACCGACGGCAACTGACAATTGGGATCGACCGATAGGAACAGTTGCTAAGCTCGCTGAATTGCAAGATAAATATTGGGGCTGATTTGTTAGCCAATGGGTTCTGATGTGGAGAAGATAACCCAGATGTTCTGCACCATTGCAAGCTGTCACGACAGGTACCTCTGTTCTGAATGAAGATCGCTGTTTTGCGCTGACCACTTGATTGGTGTACCACGTTCAGTGAACTCTCATGGTTCTTATAAAGGGAATATACCACACCCCGGTATCCCTGAAACGTTTTACTTGGACTGAAATGAGTGGTTTGGGATTTGTTTTGCGCATCTCTGAAAATGTTGATTGTGCTCGTATCAATGTTACTAGTCGTTGGGGACATGCTCAAGTCTTCGACTTGTTGGTGCCATGGAAACGGGGTCGCCCTTTTCTGAGACAGACCCATCCAACGTGAGGCCGCCTTTTTTGAGACGGGCCTCTAATTTGGACCATCGCCACATCGGATTCGTGACTGCATTGAGGCCTGTCAATCGAAGGCCGCCCGTACGGCTGCGCACTGGAGCCAGACGGGCAGACATTGGGACGCACAAGTGAGACCACAGAATGGGGATCTGAATCAAGGGGCTGGAGGTAAAGCCTCGTTTTCCGGAAGTGAACTTGATTTTCTTCCACCCTTCAACGGATATCCCAAGGCAGACTTTGAGGGACCCCTCAAACTACCTCCCCCAAAGCCCGCCCAAATGTCTTTTCTTGCAGAATGAGGCTAATTAAGGTGTAAGATGCATATGGCAGGTCTTTGGAGAGACAGCTTATAGGGACCCTGTCTTTTCAGTTCATCCACCTGTTTTTGGCCAAGCAAGGGATACAGTGGAGGTCCAGCAACAGGTCTTTTCCAAGTTAGACCAACTGGGTGTTCGTTTTCTGGAGGGTTCTCCAGATTTGGGGGTGGTTTAACCGCGAATTGAAAGGGAAACCAGCCATTTCAAGGGCCCGGGTCCCAATTTGAACATCCCAGTCGGGTCTCAGCGTTCCTTTTGAGCTGGAGGCGCGGGGATCGCCGACCGCGAGGCGCGCATGGGGTGGCTGGTAGCTGGTTTCACGGTCGTTTAACGGGAAACCACAAGGAGAACCACGATTTCTGATGTGTTTTGAAGGCGCCGTTTCACCGCAGGGTGTTTAGGATGCCCGTTTTGGAGGGTGCCCTTTGGTGCATGTATGTATGAGTCTGTCTGTCTGTCTGTCTGTCTGTCTGTCTGTCTGTCTGTCTGTCTGTCTGTCTGTCTGTCTGTCTGTCTGTCTGTCTGTCTGTCTGTCTGTCTGTCTGTCTGTCTGTCTGTCTGTCTGTCTGTCTGTCTGTCTGTCTGTCTGTCTGTCTGTCTGTCTGTCTGTCTGTCTGTCTGTCTGTCTGTCTGTCTGTCTGTCTGTCTGTCTGTCTGTCTGTCTGTCTGTCTGTCTGTCTGTCTGTCTGTCTGTCTGTCTGTCTGTCTGTCTGTCTGTCTGTCTGTCTGTCTGTCTGTCTGTCTGTCTGTCTGTCTGTCTGTCTGTCTGTCTGTCTGTCTGTCTGTCTGTCTGTCTGTCTGTCTGTCTGTCTGTCTGTCTGTCTGTCTGTCTGTCTGTCTGTCTGTCTGTCTGTCTGTCTGTCTGTCTGTCTGTCTGTCTGTCTGTCTGTCTGTCTGTCTGTCTGTCTGTCTGTCTGTCTGTGTGTGTGTGTGTGTGTGTGTGTGTGTGTGTGTGTGTGTGTGTGTGTGTGTGTGTGTGTGTGTGTGTGTTTTAGCCCCCTATTTTGACATGCCAAGATGCGTTCGATTCACCATATTGAAACTTCACACAGCAGGCCGCAAGCAAACACGCAGGCAAGCAAAGATACGAACTGACCGACCGACGGATGGACAAGCGAAACAAAAAGAGACAGACAGACAAAAAGCAACCAAACAAACAGACAGACAAACAAACAACAAAAACAAACAACAAAAACAAACAACAACAACCATCCAAGACAACAAACATGCAAAAGCAACAACAAGTTAAACACAAGCAAGCAAGCAAGCAAGAAAGCAAGCAAGCAAGAAGCAAGCAAGCAAGCAAGCAAGCAATCAATCACACAGGCAACCAACATGTCTGGTGATTTGCTTTTGCCAGGGTTCCCAATGTGCTTTTTGTTGTTGGTTTTCAATCCGTATTTTTTGAACCGGCTTAGTTTGAGTTTCCTCTGGGGGTTATGGTTTTTGGTCGAAACACATGACACAATGCTTGCGTCGAAGGAAGCTCCGGCCCTTGCCTCTGGAGATCCGGAAGGAGGACTTCGGGAACTCCCGAGGCGAATGTCCGCGGGGTGGGGCTGGAAACTCGGCAGCTGGGTAGACCTCCATGGTATGGCCATGAGTTTAAGTGGCTGTGGGTCAAAAAATAGGTACCCCAAATGGAACCCTGGTAAATGGAAACATGGACTAAAACCAGCGGTCCCCTGGTGGATTAGTGTTGACCCATACCCAAATAAGAAACCCCCTGGAAGGTGGTGAATAAGGACCCCCCCTGGAAAGCGGTGGGGGGACATAAACCTCCACCTAAATGATGTCCACCGGGTCCCTGATTAAAATGCATGCCCATATTGTGGCTGGACAGAACCCAGCACCAGTTGGCTAGTGGTTTACCCCAGTATTCAGGGGGTTTGTCATCCGTCCCAGCTGGTGCAGGATTTTCCAAGAAAGACAGCCATTACTGGCACTGTGTGGGTGTTGACCAGATGGTCTCCGCTTTGGCCAGTTTGACATCGTTTCAAAGTGAATTATGACACACTTGAGAAAGGCTGGCCAGTGGATCCAGTTACCCCTGGAGTAGACAACAAGCGAACCCTCCATGTGAAACCCTAGAGGCAAATATCGTACTTACCTGCCATGTTGGCAGCTGGCTCGACAGGGCTGGACTTGGTTCTGCTTGCTGGCTTCAGCGCCAGCTCCCCTTCCCACTTCTCCCTTCGATTCTAATTGCCCCTCCATTTTCCGCTCCCTTCCTTCCACTTTCCATTTCCCTTGTCCTCCCTTTTACCTCCCTTCTCGTTCCTTCCCTTCCCTTCCCCCTTCGGTGGGGCAACATGAAGCGACGCTCCCGTTGCATGATCTCCCAACAATGCAGGTAGCCTTTGACTGGACCGGCATCTTTTTGCAAACGCAAGATAAACAAGGGCATCTCCAAGGTAGCAACGGTCAGGATGGGATAAAAGGATCGCTTAGCTAAGGGGTTTGTTTCTTCAATGGGGTAGCCCACAATAAACAATTGGTGTTGTCCGTGTTTCTCTTGAGCAATCCCGAAGAGGGTTCCCTCAAATAGACATGCCAAACAATTCTTGGAACAGTTGCCACCTTCTGTGCGAGAGGTGAAGGCTCTTCCACATCAGCAGGGAGGGCCATTGGGGTCAAGCAAGCCCAGCTTTCCCGCAAAGGCTTGAAAGAGACATTTGAGGATCTTGACTGAACAAAGTTTCAGCCATGAGCTAGATTCATTCATTCATTGGATCTCCCCCCTTTCCCTTTGGGGTAAAGGGAGCTGGTTATGGGACGAGGGCACTTGACAACGGCCGCCTGGAAGGGTTCCTTTCATGGGGCACCCTACTGCGCTTTTTGTAAGAGCATCCCCAACCAAAGCGAGGGTCGCCATCAAGAAGGCACCAATATCTCCTAGCTTCAGAACACAACCCGGAACAAGGCAGGGAAGTTCCCCACAACCACATCTTGAATGCTATTTGGTTGGATATTTGACTTTGTTTGATTCTTTCTTGGTTTCCTCAGAACCTTTATATATATATATATATTTAAATGTCGAGTACATATGAGAGTCGGAGAAGGTGGCTTCGCAGGCGCCTCGCAGCCGTCCAGCTCGGGCAGCACATCGGTGGGCTCCAGGAGCTCCAGGGTATTCGACCGGTTGAACTGGCTTCCACTCAATGATTTTGTATGGGGTTGACTACTTAGACGGAATCTGATATGCCATACTAAATCATAAGAATCATAAGTCTTAATGTGCCATTTCGATGATATGCCATGACTACTTGTATACTAAATCTGATATGCCATGATTACTTATCAGGTGTCTTGATGTGCCGATTCCGGATTTCCACCATGACTTTCTGGATTTGTCGATATGAGGTTTCTTCAAACAAGGGCGAGAAGGGCTGTGGCTCATCTTGGTCGTCAGGGTTTGCCAGCCGTTGACAAATGGATAATTCGGGCCCACAGGGCTGTGGATGGACAGTCCTTGAAGCGCGTGTTTGACTGGTTCTCAGGGCGATCAACTTCAGAGTATATACCTGGATTCTTTCCCTGGAAACTACCACTTGGATCCGCTAGGGTGACTTTGGTAGTTGAACAACAATCAACGGGGACTGTTTGGATGCACAGATTCCTGCATCTGTTGGTAGGCTTTTTCCGTATTCATATAGTTTCATCCGTACCAACTGGCGGGATGGATGAAACCCTGTGAGTACTTGGACAAGCCACCTTCCAACTGGTGAATGGTGTTATTTCATTCAGAGCACACGCGACCCAGCATATCATCCGGAAATGGAAGTTGCTCGCCGAAATGCCGTGTTAGTTGGGCACAATGAGTATCGACCGAGTTCATATTGTATTATTTGAGGGTGCCCGTTCGGGGAAACCAAAGGCAACACCAAGCCATTTTGGGGTCCCCTACCTTACAGTGTCATGGCCATGTAGAAATGTGTTTCTCTTGCTGGGGTCAATGTTTGGGTGGTCACCCCTTTCCATCTGTAGTATGGAGGTGTTATCAATGAAGACTCACCATCAGGATGTTGTCTCTCCCCTTTTAGCTTGTTGTTTTCCACGAAGGTTTTGCTTTGGAATACCAACCAGTTACCTACCCTTAATTGAGATTTACTGAAAGCATTGCGAACCCTTCTCACCTTTGGCAATTCCCCACGTTCTGAACTTGATACACTTTGAGAAGATGATGTTGGCTCCAAATTGGATTGCGGTGGCAGCTATACAGGACCTGGTGCTTTCACTGAGCATTGCAGTAGGTAGCCGGCGTAGACATCACCAGAAGCAAAACCTCCAGGCTGCAAACACACTGCTTTCATCAGTGAACGATCATGTCTACAGCATTGATGCGCTGTCAAGAGCGAGAGTCCACGGCTCGGTATCATGCATTGGACTTGGGCCAGATGGCTGGCCGCAGGAGAGGGCGAAAACCATCGAAATGCAAAGTAGATGAGGCGGGGACGGTAGAAGACTTTCTGTTGTTCGTGTATATGTTTGTGTGTACAGGTGAACATGTTGCGTGTGTGTGTGTATATATATACATGTGTGTGTGTGTGTGTGTGTGTGTGTGTGTGTGTGTGTGTGTGTGTGTGTGTGTGTGTGTGTGTGTGTGTGTGTGTGTGTGTGTGTGTGTGTGTGTGTGTGTGTGTGTGTGTGTGTGTGTGTGTGTGTGTGTGTGTGTGTGTTTGTGTGTATAGACGAATGTGTTGTGTGTCTGTGTGTCTGTGTGTCTGTGTGTCTGTGTGTCTGTGTGTTTGTGTGTTTGTGTGTCTGTGTGCTTGTGTGTCTATGTGGGTGGGTGGGTGTCTATGTGGGTGGGTGAGTGGGTGGGTGGGTGGGTGGGTGCGTGAGTGGGTGGGTGGGTGTATAGATGTGTATAGCGTGGTGTGGGTGTGAGTGTGGGTGTGAGTGTGGGTGTGAGTATGGGAGTGAGCGTGAGTGTGAGTGTGGGCACGCCGGCGCCAGCTTTCACACGAACCTTCTTGTGATGGGCTGTTTGTCCACATTCACTCAGCCCAAAGTGGCCATGGAATCCTTGCAACGATGGTTCCGGCTACTGGCTTTCAAGCAAGGAACCAGATGGAAGTCTGCATGGGAACCCCAGTTTCATCAATCTGTTTCACGTACTGAGGGGTGCAGCCAAGGACAACATGGAACCGATTCCAGCGCGGCTCCTAGGCTCCGGAATCTATATCCCCTTCGCCGACTGCGGCATACAAGCGGCGGCTAGCTCTGGCAATGCACCGCTGGGCATGGTTATTCTGGCTCTCGGGACTGGCTCTGTGATGAAAAATCCTCAACACCAGCATGAATCTCCAGAAGAATCCCATGGCTTGCACTTTGTTGTGTTCCTAGTTCCCCTTGTTCAAAGGACCATTCGGAGCCTGCTAAGACGGGATACCGGGTTGTTGGTCTTTGTTCAGCACATTCAGAGCCAGTTGCGTCGATTGGATTCCATTGTGATCAATAGGCAATACGTTTACCCAGTATTGTCAGTATGCTCTTTGGTTTATTGGGGAAGAAACCGCTTTGCTGTTTGACGTTAATTTGCAGGGGAGTAGAACGAGGCCCCCCCCCATACACTGTAGTTTACCACGGTTTTGTCGCCTTGTGGTTCTTGCAAGTTGTAGCAGGGCATCCTCCACAGCACGCATTTCTAGTGCTTGACCCTAGTAGCAAGTGACCAGGGACCTCCCCTGTACTGCCTCCAGCCAGGGAGAGCCACCACAGAAACAAGTTGAAGAGCCCAGCAGAAGCAATTCTTCGCCTTTAATTTTGCTTTGTGCACACGTGTACGCGAAGGTCTTGAGCATGGAAAGTCACTTCAATCCGACATGAAGAAAGCATTCTGATAATGATACTTCCAACATCTTAGAGGTGGAATGCTTCATTCAACATTGGTTTGACTCGTTACTGTTTGGGTTCGTTTACAGGCGTGGCCAAATCAAGAGTTGAATATCAGGCAGGGGGATGCAGATGTAAGCACGCCGATGTCAAACACACTTCGCCACATGTTGTGTGTGCACATGGGTGTGTCTCAAAATAGGGACCCCCCCCCCCCACAAAACAAAAATGGTGGTTTTGGCTCTCTTTAAGCCACCATAAAGGGGTATGCGACAGCACACACACACAGACACACAAAGGGCCCCAAAAGACGCCAGGAAGACGCTGCACAAGACAGCCGAGATCTATGGCGCACCTGACGCTGTGGGTCATACCTTGAGGCCGGGGCTCGGATCATTTGCTTCGGAGCTATGTCACTTTGTCCATTTGCGCGGTTGCCCGGTGGTGCCCTCTTTTCCTTTGTAGGGGAAGAGTTCGCCTTTAAAGTCAACCAACCAAAAAGGATGCCCTTTTTTCCCCATTACCACTGAGCATCTGAGTTTAAGATTTGTCATCTCCTTCATTTGCCCAAAGTAGAGAAACTTTGCCCTGGTCTGTGTGGAAGTGTGTCAAGGTGTCCTGGGGCAAGACCCAAAGCCCGTAAGCCCGTTTGGGTGGCGGTTAGGTGCTTATGCACGGTTCGCCCTAGGATCAATTCCTGTTGGGAGCCTTGTTTCGGGGTCCTGGTCTCATCTTGGGGGTCTGCGCTATGAGAAAGTATGGACAGTCATGGAGACCCATTGATGGGCTCCAAGCCTTGCTTTTGGATGTATAAGCGCTTCTCATCAGAACTTCCAGTAGATCTGCGAAAATTGCAGCGGCCTCACCGTGAGTCTGTTGGAGCGCAGGGTCCATTGGCAGTTGCTTGTTCACCCCTAGGGATACCAAAGATCTTCCCCTTTGTTTTAGCAGCCTCGCCTTGCTTGTGTTTGGGCACATCTGCATCGTGGCAAGCGTGGGGCTTACGGCGGTGCCCATATTGACCTTCCTAAGTGACGTCAACAGACGTTCAACGTCAGCTTTGCACATCATCTCCCCCCAAAATTGTGTTTGTTTTGCAATATGTTTCTTTTCTACTGAGTACTAAGGCTAGTCAGGAGATGTCTGGAGCTTTCCATACAGTGAACATCATCTTGTGTCCAAAGTGATTGCTATACAAGGGCTTTGCAATTTGTAAGCATGACTACAAGGGTTCATCAGGGAGTGATAGCAGGTTCACTCCGGGCAAGCTGAGGGCAACAATAACCACATGTCACGATCTGTCCCAGACCATGTTTGATGAATTAATTTAAAACTTGACCCCTCGATGGACATGTTTTGCGTGTGAACTTATGTCTACCAACTATGTCGAACCGTGTTCCCCATTAAATGTCCTGCTTTTTGCCCGTTTGAGTGGGGAGGAGGGATGCCCCGAGTTTCGCTTAATCTCCGCCTCAGGCCGCAGGCAGTCCCGCGATTGGAGCGCGCCAGCGACACGCAGGTGACGGGAGTGATGGGCGGTAAGGGCAGGCAAGCCAAAATAGTAGGAAACCACCTGGATATCTTTTTTAATGGAAGGTTTACCCAAGAATTAAGACATGTCTTTTGGAGGGTAAAAGCTCAGGTAGACCGGGGAAACCACTGTTTGAGAACTCAAGGGAAGATCCCCGGTTCCCGACAGCAGGGGTTCTCGAGCCTTTCGACAAGTTGACTAACACTGAAAGATAACTGTTGCCTTGGCGGCAAATGTCTACCCCTGTACCAGGGTGCTCGCAGCCCGGCACTACGAAGATAACTGGCAGCCGCAGTCACTGCTTCCAACTTCAAGCCGCGATGTTTGTAGATACTGCAAAGCAGAGCAACATCCGTTTCACCTTTGCTGGGGACTAACCAGTTGCGTTTGGAAGACCGTCAATTGGGTAGCGAATGCTCATGGAGGCAGAGCTTGCATTCGGAGGCATTTGGATATATGATATGAGTCAACATGTTCGGGAGCACAAAGATGTATTGTCTTTCACCCCAGGTGAAAGTGGTTATTCTCAGGGGCATAAGCAACAACAATACGCAACACCTTATCTTTGTCCGGGGGGCAGCAAAGTCAATCCCACTGGATCCAGCCATGCAAGGTTTGGTCGCACTTGTCAGAGATAGTAGTGGACCGTTTCACATGTGGATTTCCAATTCTGAAACATGTCGACTATCACTCTCGAGCATGGACCTTCCCGTTGAAAGCCTTGGTACAGTATGAGAGGGACTTGTTCCCACAACTTTGCCGCAAGCCTCCGCCCTTCTTTTTCGTTGTGCCCTTCGGAAGAAACCTACAGAACAGAAACACGGCGGATCCCGATCAACTGGGAAGGTGTGTCCGAAATAAAACAACTTGGTGCTTTGCGGTCTGCATGGCAGCAGTGGTATCGCCTGGGCCATTGTTGACAGGTGCCGCCTGGCAGAGAAGCACAAGCTTCGTTGCCGGCTCCCGAGGAGAGAAAACAAGCCTGTTTCGAGGTTGCCACATTCTTTTAGTGGCCAAGATCACAGCCAGGGTTGCGGACAGTTGGAGCGGGGCGGGTATAGCGATGCCTGTGATGCTTGTGCGAAACAGGTTGAGTCAAAGACTCTATCTACGGACTCTCCAAGGACATAGGCTTTAATCAGGTGGAGTCATGTCTGGGCCCTTTGCAAGCATATGCACTCTGTTTGGTGGACGGTTTCGAACGGAAACACACATGACACTCTGGGGGGTTGGTTCCTTCAAAACATGCTAGTCATGACTCATTCAGAAGGCAAGTCTGGGCTGCTATGCCGCTATGCCTGACGAGTGATGCAGACTGGATTTGGTTGAGCATCGTGACTTGGACGCCTGACACACTCTTTTCATGGATCTGTTTGATCTGCGTTTCTTGAATTTTCAGGTTCACCAAATATGAAGAATAATCATCATCCTATTTTTTGGTTGGGCAGCTGAGGCAGTTTGATTTCAGTCACGTCGTTTCAGGCGAACCAGGGAAGCTATTCCCACCATGTAGCACCTAGGCAGAGCAGGAAGAAACACGGCTTGGTTGGCAAGGTTCTCTGAATGGTCCGAAACGGTGTGAGAACACAGCCAAACTGCAAGTGGTTTGAACATTCTACGGTTGGTACAGATTTCTGTATGTTCTGAAGATTGATACAATGGATTTTGCTACATGAATTGTATATTTACATACGTATATATATATATATAGGTGTCTCTGTCTGTTTTGTTTTACTGGAAACCTGCGATTGAGTTGTCTGAAAGGGACACCGACGGCCATGTTGGGGGAGTCCCCATTGGGAAACAAACTCACATTATATGTATAGATGTTTACATATACATACAGAGAGAGAGAGAGAGAGAAAGAAAGAAAGTCCACAGAAAACAGGGCATCATTGCCTGGTTTCACTGGAAGACAGATTTCCCCGTCCACTGAAGAGGGCAAATCTGGCGGCCGGCTGAGGCCGAATCCCTTAGAGCCAGATGCCGCCGCAATTGCCGGGGGTGCCCAGTTTGTCTCTCAATCGGATTGGGACACCAACTTGGGCTTTGGTTTCGCATGCTTCACTTTATGACAGCCTGACAGGGTATGAGCCTGAGCAATAACAAAAACAAAAACTTCAAGCTTTTCAGGGCGAGCTGAAAGCGCTTTGCAGCCCAGTGCATTGAATTTCACCTTGCTTCCAGTGGCCATTGTGATGGGAACCAGTGGAAAGAAATCCCGTGCACGCTAAAGATCAACCAACTTGACAATTGTACCATTGTTTCCAAAGCAAATTTCTGGGCCCACTCGCAGTTGTTCAAACGTGTTAAGACATTGCAAATTTTGTGGGTCTGCTGCGCAATATGAAGTATGATTTGTGTTTCGTTCGCTTCTACGCGTGGATGTGGCAGGAGCAAGGCGATCAGCGGATTTGCTTTCTAACCAGCAGATTGTCATACACTCGGGTTTGACCTTGCAGATCGAATTGCCGGTGGGAGGGAAAGCTTCCCCCACTGGGTCCAACTCTGCGGTACTGCAGAAGAATATGTGTTGATTCCGCTTCATGTTTAGCCCCCAAAATATAGCACCGCCTTGGAGGAGACCCCCTGCACTCTGACCATAGAAACGTGCTTCACCCTTCGGACTTGGTCGCTTGAAGCGAGGTAGACGTGCCACCAAAGGCCTGGCCGGAACTTGGACGCCTGTCGGGGTGAGGCCGCGTTGTCCTTTGGGTTATCCAAATCAGGGATCCGCCCACAAAGAGGCGGTTCTCCCCTGTGATTTTGCTTTGGTTCCCCTCTGAAACACATGATCCACATTGTGGGTGGTTCTCCCCTGGGGTTTCCCTATGATTTGCCTTTGGTTTCCCCATGATTGTCCTTAGGTTTCCCTTTGAAACACATCTTCAAAAAGGGTACCCAGGACAAAGAACACAGTCATTTTTGCAATTTGGTGTCGGTCCCAGTTGTCCAAAGCAATTTTATTTTGGCCTGTTTTGTTGGTGCACCCTCAGGGCAAACACCAGGGGCACAGGCCTGGGTGCGCTGCCACGCGATGGAGTGTGGCCAGGGCCAGGGGTAAAAGGTGGAACAAACGAAAGCACTCATTCGAGGGTCCGGGTCAGTTCGCCAGAAACCCCCAGATGCAGTAAATTCCCGGTTTTGGTTGTCGCATGTTGTCTTGTGGACAAGGCATGTGCACCAGCTGCAATAACTACACTGCAAGCCAGAGGTCCAACGAATATTAGGTTTTCCAGCGGGCTCACTGTCACTGCAGGTTCCTTTCTATTTTCGGTCTTCTTCATTTCAGGGGCAGATTGAGTCCTAAGGGTTCAGGAATGGCCGAAGCGCATATGTCGTACCTTGTCTACGGTTCGATCATCATACTGTCTCACTTCCTGAGTTGCTCGGCTTTATACTTTTTATACCCATAAACAGTATAAGTTTAGACTTTATAGACTTTTTGTTGGCCAATCCACTCTGCAAAGGCTGCTGTCCACAAACAAGCAACAACAAGCAACGTCTGGGTGGCACGCCAAACTCCAACTGCGCGGCCTCGGCGCGCGTGCGCCGTTTCTTTGTTTCATGGCAGGCGGCCCCCGTGGACGCCTGGAGCGCTTTGAGCCGGGGACTCGAATTGTTCAACATGTTTTTTCCCGGACATCCAGTGGGTTGCTTCCATTGCTCAACCTTTCTTGGGGAAGTGGGAGCAAGGGGGGCGAAGGGGGGGGAAGGGGAAGGGAAGGGGGGGGGAAGGGGGCGGAAGGGGGGGGAGGGGGGGGGGGGGGCAACCCCCTTGTACCCTTCTCTTACTTCCCATAGGAATCCACTGGGGGTTTTGCTTGGAGTTCGTGCAATATTTGCCGCAAGGCCAACATGAACACCTCTAGGTTGCATGGTTTTCTCTGTTTTCTCGCTATGGGGGCTTGCCTGGATCCACTGACCAAGTTGGAAGCAGGTCTGAGCACATCCTATGATTTCGGAAAAAGGAGTCAGTACAGGGTTCAAAAGCGGTATCCATACTTCAGGGATGAAGACCCGAGCTAAGTTCTGTTTCATGTCAGAACAATTCCGCGTGGCCCGCGTTAGTATCTCAGGACGAGGTATCCACAACCGACATCCTACCTGTTGATTCTGCCAGACTCCATTCAGGGCTTTGGCCATTGCCAGACTCAGCCTTCCTTTCCCATTCAACCAGCAAAAAGCCAAAATGCACAGGGTTCAACCGCTGCTTAATAAGGGGATCCTTTGAATCAGCCGGTAAGGGGGGGTCTTTGAAGTGAACCAAATTTTGGACCCTGTTTTAGAAATTCGCAGGGGTCTAAGTCTGGCTCACTTTTTGAGAGTGACCGGTGCGAGGCGCAGGGAGTGCAGCTACATTGGAACCCTGTCAATCTCTGCTTGTCCCTACGTTGCCCTTTTTGGAGTAAAGATCACATATATTGTGTCGAAGGGGAACAGATATCAGGCGTCCTGTCAAGTTGAGTCATGTGTTTGGCTCGCCTCAGCCCCAGATGAAACACCTTTCCCTGTTGGGGACAGGATGTGGTTTCCTTGTTAGTGGAGGGTTTTCAGCTAGAGGCTTGACGCTCCTGATGAATGACATGGAGGGTCCGTAGTCAGGGGTCAGCTAAATTCATTTGCACCGGGCTTCGCTGGGCTTTCCGTTTTGGAACCTCTGCGGATGATCCTGTTGTTCTGATTTCCGCCTCCCAGTGACTCCACATGCCACCCCGGGTTGGAATTCCATAACCCTGTTTCGGGAGGCCAGTTTGGAGAGATGTGCCCTCTCAAAGATCGCTTCGAAGTCCTGCAATCCAAAGACAGCTTATGTCCAGTTGAATGATGATTGACAAGTAGTTCACTTTCTATGCTTGCAAAACAACACAGGCCAAGTGGCCAACCCGGTTGTTTGATGAGTCACAATTGAAGCCCGGGTGAGTAAAGGTTAATCAGCAAAAGTCCTGGCCAGAAATGGGTGCGACCGCCCCTTGATTCTTCACCTAGTTTTCGGTAGACTATTTTGATACAGTGCTTTGATGGTGACTGCAGTTGTTCTTTCCCCACAGAAAAAGAAAAGGAGAAAACAAAAACGCAAAAACATTGCAACAAATATGCCAACCATTGTCCTGTACGCTGTTTGACGTTTTGAGCCATGGCTTATCCGCATAACTGCGGGTGACCCTTCGCACTTATCGATGCACAGGTGGCTAACGTCCAAAGAAATCCCTGACAATTCGCTGCTAATATTTGCTGATAAGTCGCTGTTCATTCCAGCTTCTTCAGCACCTGCGAACCTTGGACGGTGCCCCCATTCGTTTCGGAAGACAGCCGAACAGTTCAGCGGTTGATCATCTACACGCAAGAAACACGGCCCAAAGTCAAAGCTTAAGTGTAAGTAGCCGCATGCCTTTGGGGTTCAGGTTTCAGATATACAAACCTGGATACACCTCAAATTTGCCTCCAGTTTGTACATACTGTTGTACTAGAAATACATAAGTTAATATGTATTGGGACACGGAGATACAATTTATAACGCATAGCAAGTTGCCACCGAAGAACGTCCTCATCTACCGATACTAATAAGTCTCGTGCCCTGTGTAGAATGTAAAATACCCCCCGAGGGTATTCCCTCCCACCATCTACACAAGAGGAATATCACTGAGTGATGTACGGAGGGGGAGAGGGGGTACCAACAAGGGGCCCTTTGCACTGCATGCTGTCTTGGGTGTACAAAGGGATTTGAACAGTTGGGGTGGGGATTCTTCGTGTTGCATAGCTTGGATTGGCACGTGCGCAAACCTTGATTTCTCGGACAGAGGTACTTCGGTCCGCCACGGGGATGGGCCAACCTTCGCCGAGCTCTTTCGAGCAGGCGATGTGTGTGGTGAATCCTTTGATTCAGAGCCATAGTTTTGACAAAGTCTGCCAGATGGGATGGATGAAATCCTACGAATACTGGGAAACAGTTCAATCGACTGGTGAAGGGTTTTCCATCCACAGTAGAAAGGGGAACCATTGCAATCCCAGTGAATATTAATGACTATTGGGTGCCATTAAGGTGCAGAACCCGGATTCGGGGGTGTTTCGCAGATTTGAAAGATAGCTACACGAGTGCCTTTCATTTTCTGTTAGCAAAGGGTCGGCAACTGATAAATCCTGTGGGTATGTGGGTCAAATGGGCAGGGAAAATGGCAGTTTGTTGCGTTTTGCCCTTTCAAAGCCACTTGGGAAAAAGAGACCAGTCATTTGGGGCGGTTGTGGGACGTTGTTTCAAGGGAACAAGCCAGCCAGCTGGAGGAGTCCCATTGGCAGCCCGACAAATGACAGAACACAGATCTGATCCGACAACTTGTCGAACCTTGACATGTTGGAGTTAAGATTTGCTTCTGTGGAGTCATAGGTCAACATGACCGCGTAGCTTCACTTGGGTTAGGGAGATGAGCTGTGTTTGCAAGGGTCTGCAAGGGATGGACTGGATTTGTTGAGAAGCTGGCCAGATGGCCGTGGTTCGGTGTAGCTGTAGATGGCCCAACGGGACACCGCAGTCTACATGGGCAGATTGCGCCATTGCCATTAGTTCGACTTAATATACCAAGCCAGGTTTTATTTTTGACCTCTTCTTTTGGCAACTGCCGAACATCGAATTAAACATAATTATGTTGTGCGTATCGTGTTGTCTAACGCCTGATGGCTCAACGGAAAGCACCATCTGTTGTGCGGAGTCATATTACCTTCTTAGTTGGTCTAGTTGATTGCAGGTGAAAGCAACTAAGGAATGGTATGTGTTGATCCCTGATGAAACCAATCCCTGCCTGGTCAGTGAATGATGATTTGATTGGTCTTTGTGGGAAACTGAAGAAACATAATATCCAGGAAATAGAATCCGTCGGTGTTTCATAGGCAGGACACTGCGATGCCCACACCCGTGTTTGTTTTCACCCACCAACTGCCGGAACTATATGGATCAAAGCCAGCATGTGTACAGTCAGAACCAGGAGAGATAGTTGCCCAGGTTTCGGTTTTACCCTTCCGACACCAAACATGCAAGTGCACAGACTCCTTCTTGGAAGCCAAAACTCTCTGGCCTTTGCGCCCCACGCTTGTTGACGGAATAGTAAGCCATAGGCGACACTTTTTCCCGGCCCACAAACGGTAAAATTGGGGGGGGTCAAGAAACGCTTTGGAGTTCGAAACCCTAATCCATAGGTGTCTACAAGTTTAGTCCCAAATGATATAAGTCATAAGGAGCAAACTCATTGCACTCATTTCCGTTCCTCTGGTCATGACTTTACGTGGGATTAAGAGCACTACACAACCCCATGTTGATTGACCGTGCCTATCCCCCGCTCCGCTGAGCTCCGGCCGGCCTTCGTAGGTCGCCAAAGTCTCCACTCGGGTGGCTGGCGCCTCGAAGCCTTGAAAGATATCCTGTCAGGCGGATGAAAGCATGGGACTTGTTCCATCTATCTGCTTTCACCCAATATGGGCTTTCGTCTTAAGGGGCAGGCCAAGAAGCCAGGAACACAACTCCAGAAGACACAACTGCAAGACCTTTCTTTTTGGGCTGGGATTTGTCTAAGTGCCTGGCGAGCCGCTTGATGAGGTGGTTCTCCTTTGGTTGCCCTTTCAAGCAGCTTCAACAAGCTTAGCCAGGGTGTCTCCAGATATGGAGCCTCAAAATGGGCTTCCGTTTCCCTCTGGCGCTCCTTACCAAGCAATTAGGGACCCTGAAGTTTCGTGGGGTTATAGTCATGGGCCGTTAGATGATGTTGTTTTGCCATAGTTTTGCAGTTGACCGGGGAAAGCAGCCCCAAACCTTCAATCGAAGACATATTGTTTGTTTGTGCACTCCGATGGATCAGTGAATTAAAGCTTCGAAGCTTGCGATTTGCTTGGAGATGTTTCAACTGATCGGGGGTTTGACCAAGATAGCGCTAGCCTCAGTCAGAGCAAAGGGACACCCAAAGCCTTACTCGGCGCGTTCGGCCATCGGCCGGCCGATTTGGCTCGCAGCTTGCGGTATGGCCGGCAAGAAGCCAAAGAAGCCCAAGAAGCGCGCGAGGCCCCGGAAGAAGCGATGCGCCAGCGAAGGCGAGGGAGCTGCACCTCAGCTGAAGTTCCCAGGGGAATTAGTTTTGAGAACTACGTACCGCTGGGTGAAAGTAGATGACACAGCCTGTTCAATTTGTTATTTGTTACTTCCGTTCAGAAAGGTCGTAGTGCCGTCTACTTTCACCTTATGGCTAGGAGGCATAAACAGCCGGTTGATTAGTTGGGGCATCCAACTTGAGAGGGCATCCTTCACCTTTGGGGGAAACACTCCCTTAATTTGCCAGGTTGACCAGTCCAAGGTCCACATGAGTACAAATTACTTGGGGGTCTTCGTATGTTCAACACTTAGCAAATGCCACACTGTTTAAACGTTTTACCTGGTTTCTGCCCAATCACCTCAAGTCAGGATGCGCCTCCGCCGTCCAAACGGCCAAAGAAGGGGGCGGTCTCTGCTCAAGAAGAAGTGCTGAACGAGGCTTCGGCCACTGCGAAAGAGTACCGGAGCGAGCATCTCATCCGAAGTTAGTTCAGGGGACCCCAAACAGGTTCTAACAGACGGGTTCCAGCTTGCACCAACGGACAATCATGTGTTGCAAACAACACGCCGGTGTCTGGTTGTTTAATTGCCTAACCCTGTTTGGAAAGGCCTGTCAAGCAAATTGTTAGGTGTCCCAGACAAGTTTTCCGCCTCGTGTATGATGAGCCTTAGGGTACGCAACAAGCTGAGACCCATAGCTCGCAACTATGGTACCTGGGGAGAAGCACCTGGGGCCTGGGGCAAATCGCTGGACATGGACCCATTTTGGATCTTTTCCGTCGACCCGTCTTTGACCCGTTGTCCTGCGTCTTCTAAGCAGCGAGGTGACTGACTTGTTGGGCAGTGGGCAATAGTACCCAGCTTTGCACTATAGGCGTCCATGGTTTCCCCACCGTCAAACTACTGAACATAAAGAAACACAAGGTGATGCATTATTCTTCTTGTTGTCGGGGAGATCGACTAGACGCGGCCTTATGAGTTTGTACTGTTTATATTGTGTTGTTTCCATTCTGCCAAGCAAGTCTGTCATAAACCTTTGCACTCACAGCTGCGTTCTTGCAGGTTTCCGAGTCAACAAAGAACATCGAGTGATTTGAACTGGTTTTATACTGTGGATTGACGAAGTCCTGCACAAGCCTGCACACTTGGGATGGACATACCCGTATAACAATGCCATCTACCAACGCGACATGGATCTTCGATCCACCATATGTCCCCATGAGTGCGTCGTTGTTCCCAGAGCCAACACCACCAATCACTGAACCATCATTTCGGCGGCGCCACTTCCATTGATGAAGCCCGAGTCTGGTGACCTCTCGGTTTGCAGGCGGGATCTAGAATGCGGTGGTTGGGTGAATTAGAGACCCTGTTGGCTAAAGTCTTAGTTTTGACAAGGTTGCTTAAATGCACAAGGTTGCTTAAATGCAGTGCACTTGATTTCAGATCAATGTTATGCATGTGTTAGCCAGGAGCTTCAGAAGGCGCTGATGCCCTTAGAACTGACGTGTAACCTGAGATTCAGCTATTTATGAAGGGGCCTCCTTTGCAGATTTGTTTTGTTTTTTTGCTTCCTTCACTTGACTTTTACCATTAGACATGTTGAAATCAATGAATCTGGCACATGTATCAGGGGGCACACCAGCAGCCAATGACCAAAGCGAGCGCTGCTCGTTTGGGAGCCAAGGCATGAGATCCAGGTGCGGGGCGCCTGCCCAGCTCCAGTGGCATCCTTCCAGCAAGCGCGCAGCCTCTTCGGACAAGAGTTGGTGGAGGTGCATTGGCCTGTTCTTTTGTTTCGTTGGTTTCTTTGTATCAATGTTTATTTGTTTCCTTGTTTGTTTGTTTGTTTGTTTGTTTGTTTGTTTGGTTGGTTGGTTGGTTGGTTGGTTGGTTGTTGCGTGTTTGCTTGGTTGATTGTTCTGTTTGTCGCCCGTTCCTCGATATTTTTGTAAATCCAATGTCACTTGATACGTAACAGGTGTCGCACGGTCTTGTGTTGCTCCCCTGTATTGTTTAAAGTTTTTCCCACGTAATTATATATTATATTGTTGTTTTGCTCCCCTGCAGTTTACATGGATTCCCGCACACCCTCAGATTCAGAGGAATCTGGAATCAGTTTGTGAGGGACCTCCCTAAGATGGTGCCATCTTAAGTTGCAGGGGAGTAGCCCCTTTTCCTTCAACCTGGAAATCCACTCAAGGCGCTACGAGAGCAGGGCTACAGCTCGCCCACACCAGTGCAGGCTCAGGCATGGCCCATTGCGGTGCGTGGCCACGACTTGATCGGTGTCGCAAAGACCGGCAGCGGCAAGACCTGTGCTTCTGGGTCGATGTTTGGTAGGTTGTTTGTTTGTTTCTTTCTTTCTTTCTTTCTTGCTTTCTTTGTTTCTTTGTTTGTTCTTGCTGGTTATGATACATAGTCTTCTATTTCTAGGTATATCTTGCTGTATGTGGGCCAACGTAGCCATGATTTCTAAAGGAACCCCCTTTTGAGAGACCCCCTTTTGGGTTCATTTGCAGGGAGAACATGTTGTCTTCCCTTCAGCAATTGGAAGTCATAGGTGAACCACTAAGGCGTATTTGATCCCCGCCCTAGCCCTGATCGCCAAGCGCGGCCCCCCGCGGGAAAGCCTACGCCATGATTCAGGGCGGGATGATCGGCCCCCTGCCCAGCCCAGCTGTTTGATTATGGCTCCCACCCGGGAACTTGTGCAGCAGATTGGGCAGGAGAGCGACGAACAGAGAAACAAAGTAGGAAAGTTGCTCGCTTAAATTTCTTTGGGTTCCTTCTGATGTTCTGTTGTCCTGGCGGTTGAAACAATAACGGGGGGTTCTATAGTTCTCACCACAGCCTGGGAGATTGAGATATCCCCCCGACATCCCTACCTTTGTGAAAATAAATATATAGATAGTACAAGTGTTGCAAACAAGTGTCAGATCGATCAAACTTTTTGAGTCCGAGCCGTTTAGCACATTGTTATCTGACGACAGTAGCTTTGAACGAAATTGAAGTGACCCGCATCTGCAAAGTGGATACCAGTTGCATTCGGGCATTCCAAACCAACTAAGGATTAGTGGTTAACTAAGGGCTTCTGGTGATTGCCCCAACCTGTAGGGTTATATAAAGAGCGATAGTTTGTCTCCCATCTATTTGGACTTACACATTCTTTCTGGCCTGAAGAACCATAATGTTTGGTTCGCTTCAGGGCCCGCTGATTGACCGTTCTACCCTTCCAGGAGGCCAAGAAGTTTGCGCCCGCCGTGGGCGCTCGAGCGCAGGGCATCTTCGGGGGCGTGGCAAAGGGTCCGCAGGCGGGGCTGCAGCGGTTTGAACGCTAGGGCAGCGGCCGAAGGCTTAGGGGTTGAGACTCCCCTAGAATTCAACATGGAACCCAACCAACCCTCCTTTGTAGACAAATCTGCTTTGAGGGGTTCAGACTGCTTTTAGCGCTTGAGACTTTGGGGTTATATAGGTGTTGTTGTTGTTGTTGTTGTTGTTGTTGTTGTTTTTTGTTTGATAGGAAACTGGACATGACTTTTTTTTTTAGTAGTACTCCCCTGCAAACCCGCAGTTGCAGACAAACCGGCTTTTTGGACAAACCCCTGTTTGGAGTTGCAGATAATTTGCATGGAAGTAGGGGTTGAGACTTGAAAGGGTGCTAGGGACTACGACTGCCAAGGGCTTGCCAGAAAAAGGGGACTGCCAAGATTAACCACAGTTGCTCAATGGACTCCACCGCTTAGATCTATGTTTCTTTGGTGGGTTGCCCACTTCACATGGAATCAAGCTGGCAAAGGGTTCCAATTATGTTCCACCAATCAATGGGCACCTGAGAAATCGAGTCCTATTTGGTGCATTCTACGTTGGGCTTTAGAGCTCTTGTTTTGTTCTTGTGTTTTAGGGATGTTGTGTCTGAACAGTTTGTGTTTTGCTGTTTGAGCGTTAACTTGGGCCTAGAGTTTTCAATCCATGATTGTTCAGGCAGTTGTTTGTTTAGCTTGTATAGTGTGTGTATGTGTGCTTTATTATGTGTGTTGGCCAACTAGTTTGTTTTGTTTTCCCCGTCGCTTGTGTCTTTAAAGCTTATTTGGATTGGTGTGGTTTGGCCTCACCCGTGTCAATCAGAGTTGGCCAGCCTGACTGTTTAGTCAGGCGTTCATTTGGTTTACTAGTTGTTGTATTTGAAACAAAGCAATGCAATACTTGCTGTGACCTTCCCGATCCCAATCGCTGTTGGCCAACTTTGTTGTTCTGTCAGATATTTGGATTAAAGCTTGTTTTAGCTGTGTGTTTGTTATTGTGTTGCACAA